CTATGATCAGGTTTTTTTATCATTTTGAATAACTGAAAGCGCTTTAAGTTCTTTTTAAAATATCCTCAAACAGTTTCGAAACCTAACCATTATGTTTAAATTATTCCTAAATTTGAAGTTTGGTTTTTGGCCTCATATTTTCGAGCCTCGTAAGGTATTTAAAAAGAGCTTATTTCTCACTGATCTATTTATTTTCACGTTTTGTCTGATATACTTTCTATACATCTCATGCAGCTCTCTAACTTAACAGACCTATTCACAGATGCCACTCTCCGATTAACTTTGCCTTTTGGAATTGGTCTTCACCACGCTGGCTTGAAAGATGCAGACAGAAGAATTGTGGAGGAGTTATTCGTCAATCAAAAAATCCAGGTTTGACCTATTTCTCTCACTTCCTCGTGTATTTGCTATGCTTCTGTTCTTCGACTTGATTTTCTTAGCATGCCTGCATTCTAGACATTCTAATAGCTTTTCTTTCTTTTCTCTGAATCATTCGATGGGGAAAAAATATCGCAACTATTTGTCACAAAACTTGTTGGCTAGTTTTGGGCTATTTTCATTAGAAATATTATTTTTGTTATTACATTTTTGAAAATACTTGTTGCGTTTCTTAACTTCTAATTAGCTTATTTTTACTTTATTAGTTTTCGAGACTACCGGTCACTCATACATGAGATGTGTTAACCATAGTTCGTTTAAGATGCTGGACTGGTAGTTGAATTTTATTACAGTGATATGAATATGCTTGACATTTGCATCGAATCTCATATAGCCTTGCTTTCTTAGAAGGTATTATCATATCTTTCTGTGACTCAAGGCTATGTGCAATCCATTATGGGAAAATTCAACTTTTAGTCCTTTATCACCTTAAACGAAATAGGGTGAACACATCTCATATACTATTATTTAGCCCCGATCATGATGCATTTTCTGCTTTGTTGACACTGTCGACCAGCGAAGAATTTGAATTTCGTGTTTTCCAGTTGGCACAGCAGATTGACATGCCCTCACTTGTTATTTATTTTGCGGCTGAAACACCTCACTCCAGCTCATTCATATACTTATGGGCTCCAACTTTTCTGGAATGCTATATTTTTAATTGCTCCAGGATTTTGTCAAGGGTCAGCTTAATATTGCTTATAAGTAGGGCATCAAGATTACGAGTAAAGCAGTCATATAAGATGTATTCACCCAATTTCTTTTAAGGTGATGAAGGACAGGCAGTTTCAATTTTCCCATAATCAATTTCACATAGCTTTGCTTTCCCAAAAGATATGAGAATATCTTCTTGGAAGCAGGGCTATGCGATATTTAATGCGAACGTCAGATCTACTCTTATCATTGTTGAAAAATTCAACTATCATTCCTCCATCACTTTAAATGAAATTGGATAAATACATCTAATAATATTGCTTAGTTGAAGTTTTATTATGGGTTTAATCACAGGTCTTCTCTTAATTTCATAAATCGTAATGGTCGAACCTGGATAATACCTTATCCTTTGGATGAATCCCATCTCAGGCCAACTGGTTTATCCTCTTGTCTATACTATATAGTTATGATTGTATTTCCTCTGAGAAATACGTGTGACGTGAGAAAGCAATCCTTGCTACTCTGACTTACCTTAGGTCTTTCGGGGTCAAAACTAGTTAATTACGCAGACAAATGTGTAGATAGGGGTATCATATGTGAACGCTTCATATGGCTTGAAATAGTACAACTGCTTTATTCTTGAGGTAGTTTCGAAAAACTTATTATTTCATCATTTATTTTTGCTTTTTCAAATAACTAGGAGAAAACATTTTATTTCATTTTGATAAAATTTTCCCTTTTTAATTGCCTATCTCTGCTTCCTCGATATACAGATACTGATTGCCACCTCCACTCTGGCATGGGGAGTCAACTTCCCAGCACACTTCGTAATTGTCAAGGGAACTGAGTATTACGATGGTCAGACAAGACGTTATATTGATTACCCCATTACAGGTTAGAGTGCCATATCCTTTTGTCACTAACAGCTTTCTCGTACCTTACTACTTTCATCTAGGTATGATTCTTGATTATGACTAAGCTTCAATGGAAGCTATTCGCTTGTCAGGGAAAATATTTTATTTTAATCCCTTAAGCCTGAAGAGCCTCTTATAAACAAAACCTTTTGCAAATCCATACGTATACGACATAACTATACTGTATCCTAGTGATATAACTCGCCCTTTGTCTTGCTGGTCCTAAGTATTTTATACAGAACATGAATGTTTGCAATGTACTAGTATCATTCTTAAACATATTATTCTGTATATAAGATTATTTTCTTCAAATATACGCATTTTACTTCCCTTTTCTTGCTTCGTCTCTCGCACTTTGTATATTTTTCATTTGCCCTCTTGTCTAAATCCATATTTTTTCCTTTATGCATATCTCGATCTCCATCCATTCCTTGTTTTTTTCTCAATACTTGATCCTAGTCTCATTAGGGTCTTTTTTATCTAGCCTTATCAACTATTTACTTAGTTTTGGGGCTCAAAAACTAGTATATTTATATATTATTCATTATTTTATTATTACTTTTGCATCTTCTCTATGGTGATTTTTCTTTCTCGGATATGTAGACCAAGATAGTGTGGCCTACAACTTGGCCGTGTTGTCAGGGTTACCTATTTGGACGAACTTTGTCTGGAGTCCTCTGATTTCGTAGTTGGGATTAGTCCAACCTTCGGATCGTGGACTTGATTCATATCCAGACGTTTTGCCAGCATCATGAATTATAGGCGCCATTCATATCACATGGTTACAACTTATCAAAGGGTTATAAATATTTCGACAAGTAATCTTTTTATGGGCGAATAGACATCTGGAAATGATCTTCAAACGTAAGCCTTAATCCGCGCTCCCCTTGTGCCCTGCAGCAAATCCTTATTAAAACGGATGAATGCAGCTCTTCTATAATGGATATTACTGACTGCGCTCTTTGGTTTCAAGCCTTTTAAACTGAACCTCTTACAATTTATTGTATACGTTAATCAGAATATCTTATCATATTCAAATATTTCCCACCCAGACGTACTTCAGATGATGGGCCGAGCCGGCCGACCTCAGTTTGATGACCATGGCAAGGCCTTGATAATGGTGCAAGATACGAAAAAAACCTTTTACAAACGGTTTCTCTACGAACCTTTTCCCGTAGAGAGTTGTCTCTTACAAGTACTGCCAGATCACCTCAATGCAGAGGTGGTCTCTGGCACAATAACCTCAATGCAGACAGCTCTGGATTATCTTACATGGACTTTCTTTTTTCGCCGACTGTTAATTAATCCAAGGTCAGATTTCCTGTTTTTAAACCATATATATAAGCCCCTTTATTGGAAATTTTCATATCTCGAAAACTCAAAAGCACTTTAACATAAGTTATGTCCTCTTGCTCAGACTGCATCTGATTGATATATGTACATCCAAGATCAGATGTCTCTTTTGGGTATTTAACGTCCTCTGTTTTCGTCCTCATGGTTAATGTGCATAACTTGTGGACAACACTCGCCTATATACTATATAAACTGGCAGTTTGTCAGAATTAGGTTGCATCTTAAATGAATTTACGCTGCCTTCTCTCCCTGGTCTCCCAAACGTTACTCGAATCCACAAGCAATGAGGTTACCTTAGTCTAAATATTGCCTTATTGCCATTCGGCCAAAGGCTAGCGAAAATTTTAGGCAAGGCAGAACAACATAGTAGTTATCATAATTCCCAGCATCAGACCGTGAACTTAGTACATTCTCAGACGTTTCGCTGGCATCGTATTCGACATCATCATTGAGACTTGCCATTCTTCGCACCAAGCTACAGACTTATCAAAGAAACAAGTGGAGTCAATCCCTCGATCAACGTTCTGCTGAAACGGTTACATTATCATTCATTTCTGTCCTGGCCCATCTACTCCTTACCTTTTTATCAAATTCCTACCCTATCACAATTTCTCACTTGTTTAAATTCCACTCGTCAAAATGTGTGCCTTT